GTCGAAGCGGCAGGGGGGCATGGGACCCCGCCCGGGAAGCCTTGGGTCGGCCATCCGTGCGTCGCGGCCGCCATGGCTGAGTGGTGCCCCCCTGCGGGGGATACTTTTGACGCTGCCCCACGCTGTATCGAGGCTACCGTTGCTGGCCCCGCGCTTCTCGGCTCTGCAAATTCCGAGGGGCCCGCGCCCAGAGGGCCACGCGCTCGCCGCGCCCCCGGGCACGCGCCCCAGAGGCCCCGAAGATGGCCCCCAAGGTGGGCCCAGAGGGTTGCCCTGTCGCGCCCGTGCTCTCCCCAAGACGATCGCCTCGAGATGGGCCGCATAACCCGACCCCACGATGATCGCCCCAAGATGATAACCCTCCGGCTCTCCGGCCAAGCTCGTGCTCTCCCCACTAGGATTGGCCCGCAGATCACCCTAAGATGGGCCCAGAGGGCTGGGAAGGTATCGGGCCCCCCATCCATGACGCGCCCGGCCAGGCTGCGGAGTGGTTCTCGACCGCGGACGCCTACGACGCCGCCTCGCATTGGGCGGCGGGGTGCGCGCCGACGTTGGCGCCGACGCCACTTCCCACATCGCCACCCTCGTCCTCGACGGCATCATCGACAAGCTTGCTGGCGAGCGGGCCTGCGGACACACAGTGGCTGGAACAGGCTCGGCGGCTGGAGCCCTGCGCCTAGCGAGGCTGCGCCTCAGCCAGCGCCGAGGGACCGTTGGGCCGAGCCGCGGGGCCAAGCGGACAGCACGCCAGGGTCAGCCCCCGTACGACGACGCCAGCGCCGGCTCTGCCGCCGACACGCACGCCGACGCACACCGCCGCGTGGCCGCACGTGCGCCGTCACCGAAGCCGTTGACCGAGGGGTGCCAGCGGTGGCAGCAGCTCGCGCAGCGAGAGTCAGCGCCGGGCTGGCACGCCAATCGAGCGCTGGGCTGGAGCAGCGACCGGCGCGCTGGCATCTGGCTGGCGGCCGATAACGGAAGACTACGGGGGCGGGGCGTCTTTCCTGCCAGCACGGGCCCGCGAGTGCGCAGATGCTCGACAGCAGGCGAGCTATCATAGGCCCTGCGGTGTTGACCCCAGCACCGGCACCTCTCAGGCGGCGGCCAGAAGGAGGGACCGCCGCACTCATTTCGCGCAGCTCCGCTCGACTACCTGTTCCCTTGCTATCTGGCGGCTGCATCGCAGCGCGCGACCGAGGTTTTATTCCCAGGCGTACTTTTCCACGCTTGGACCGCCACGAGGGGACCAGCCTCGTAGATGGCGAAGTCACAGCGGCAGATATTTGTTAGCTGCGGCTCTGCGAGGCCAGGCCGCGGGTGAACCAGCCTTCGGGGCGAAGTCCCAAGCCCATTACTACTCGAGGGCAAGCCCGCCCGGCACCAGGCTCCCCAGTCCTCAAGCAGACAGGGCTGGAGCGTCCAGTCTCCTGGCTTCGCTCGCGGCGCCGAAGACCTCGGCCCGGCTGGTGACCTCGGCCATAGTGCGGTCGGCAGCCCTGCCTACGGCTCCGCCGAGGGCACCCCTATCGACTTCGACTCCGCGTTTGTTTCCAAAGCCAGCGCCAACGCTGGCACCTCCGCCGACGCCGACGCCAGCACCGACCCCGGCACCTGCACCGACCCCGGCACCTGCACCGACACGGACGTCGGTACCCCAGCGCCGACGTCAGCAGGCAGTGCCATCGGCGGCCTCCAGAGCGTCCTTGGCGGGCCCAGCGGCCAGCCCTGATCCGCACCAACGGGAGGCGCCGAGGGGGCGCGCGGGCCAGCGGGCACTGGAGGCGAGTCGGCGGCCACGCGCGCGGCGTCGAGGACGGCCTCCACTGCGGCGTCGCCGGCGGCCACGGCGGCAGCGCCTTTTGACGATCCCGCCCACGGCTTCGCCTCCAGTTGGGAGAACGCGGAGGACGTCCGAGGGGGTCGGCGCTGCCGCGATCGGGCGGGCGGGGTCACCCCGCCATCCGATGACCTGCACGTTTTGTTCGGTGGTTTAGAAGCCGCTCCGCGCGCCTCAGGGGGGCCCCAGACCTACAGACGGGGGCGCCTCGGGGACGAAGCGCGCAAGCGTCTTGCCACTCGAAGATACCATTCCTTCTCCGTCTTCGTCGCCTCCTCTCCTCCTTCTTTTGTCGATTGGGTTCCGCCACTTTGGCCTCACAGCCGTGAGAAGATCAGACCAAGTGCCCACCCACCCAGCTTCGCTTTCCTTTGTACGGCGGGAGCGGCTTGTTGGCCGCTCCGCGCGTCTGAAGGGCGCCCCAGATCTACAGTCCCGGGCGCCTCGGGGAAGGAGCGCGTGGCCGTCCGGCCATTGAACGATCTCATTTGTTCTCCGTCTTCGTCGCCTCATCTCCTCCTTCTTCTGTCCATGCAATGCGCACGCCTACACGCAACTAAGATAGCGTTCGGTTGGTCACCGTAGTGTCGCTATACGCATTCGCTAGGTCGCATGTTTGTGTGCGTTCTTGCCGTGACGCCTGATTGCTTGTACGATTGCCTGCACGATGGTCTGCCCCAACGCTTGTCTGCGTTATCTCATGGTTACATGCGTACTTGATTGTTTTGATTACTACCTGATTGCTCGCCTGCGTGCCTGCTTGCTCGAACGGTTTCCCGCTCGCCTGGATTCTCGTGCGCACGCGCGTTTGCTCGCATGCTTGAACGCGCCGTTGAAAAGCCAGACATGCGAGGTCCGTTGTTGCTCACTACGGGGTCCTCCGACGTCCATGCACCTTCGCCGGGGCTAGTTTTCCATCGCGAGCAGTTTTTGCTACGGTCCCAGGGCCCGGCGAGGGCCCCGGGGAGGTTGAAAACAGCAGACAACCTTTTGTCGCGATCTCTTCACGGCGCGAGCATGCCTGGGGGCGAAAGCAAGACCTCCCGCGAGGGGAGGACGGCGACGAGGACGACGAACGACGAACGATGTCCTCGTCGTCGTTGTTGTCATGGTCGTCGTCCTCGGCGGCGGCGGCGTCGTCGTCCGCGTCGTCGTCATCGTCGTCGGCGTCGTCGTGGCGGGCGAGCTGCGCGAAAAACTCCCGCAGGAGGCGGGCCTCTCGCGGGAAGATCTCGAGGGCGGCGCCGAAGCCGGGAGAGCCAGGGGGGACGGCGCACGGCTCAGACCTTGGCCACGCAGAGGCGGCCCAGGGGAGACCTTGAGGCTTCGGAGACGCAAGTCTTTTCAGCTGATCGTTTTCGCCCGGTTTCGGGCCCCAGGACCGTCACGGATCGATGCGGCTCGAAGAATGACGCAGAAAGATGGGATCCGGTTGTGATTTTTTACGATGTTGCCATTCTTCCTGACGTCGAATCTCAAAGCAGATGCCGGACGGGCAGAAGGGGTGGGGGTGAAGGGAGGGAGAGCGGGGTGAGCGGGACGGGGCCGGAGACTGCACAGATGTCTCTGCCCAGCTCCATTTCGTGTCGCAAAGATAGCAGGTGGTGATTCTCCAGGGCAAGGTGAGCGGCCTGATGGCGCCCCCGCCTTCGCGCGCATCGCTCAGCTGGGAGAGGGCGACTGGAGCGTACACTGGAAGGGCGAGGAGGATGATCAGAAGAGATGGGAGAGGAGAGTAAGGAGTAAGGGGGAGGGGGGGAAGGGGGAAGAAAAGGGGGATGGATGAGGGAGAAGAGCGCGAGCGCTGAACGAGCAGTCTTGCCTGCACGCCTCGGCTGGAGATGGCCAGGTCTGCCCTGCGGGGACTGCCGCACCTCGCCTTCAAGAAGATGCGGACGGCACGCCTCGGTAACGCGCTGCGTTTCGACGCCGGCGGCCTGTGCAACGGCCGACGTGCCAGCGGCCCTGGAGCTGCCGACAGAGCACACCGAGGAGCAGCACAATTTGTCCTGACCCTCTGGCAGGCGCCCTTCGTGTGGAGGGTTACCAGCTTAGACGACGAGAAACTCAACGCAGGCCAGTGCCTTTTCGGCGGCGCCACGCACAAGAGCCTGGGCACCTCCGATGTTGTCCCTTCCCTGCCCTGCTGTGAAGAGTCGCCGCGCGGGGATCCACAGCCAGCTGGGTCGCTGCACTGGAGTATGGTACCGACCGACCCTGAAGGGACAAACGGCGACAGGCGCGTGGCCGCAGTCTGCCAAGCAGCACGCTAGCGAGCTCTGCGGGCTCTGGGCGAGGGCCTTCCAGGTGGCGTGAAGGCGCGCCCGGCCTGCGGAAGCAGGAGGGCCAGCTTGAGGCGAAATGGGCGATTTCGGCGTTAGGCATCTGCGCAGGCTACTGGACTCGACGCCGAGGAGGAGGAGAAGGAGGAGGAGGAGGAGAGGGGGAGAGGGGGAGGATGAGAAGGAGGATGAGGAGGAGGAGTAAGGGGAGGAGGAGGAGGAGCAGGAGGAGGAGGAGGAGGAAGCGGAGGAGGAGGAAGCGGAGGAGGAGGAGGAGGAGGAGGAGGCGAGCACGCGGTGCCGGTTCCCACGCCTTGCAGGCAGGCAACCAGACGGGCTGCTCGCGCGTTGGGGCCCAAGCCTGGCAGGAGTCCAGGCGTCTGTGTTTCGGGGGGGGGGGGGGGTAAACGTGGCCCCTCGTCGCGCCCTGCAAGACGGACCGCAGCGGCGGAAGTCCCTTCTTAGCGCAAGGCAAGAGAAGAGGGATAACTCACGAGAGAGGGAGGGGAGGGGAGGAGGGACAAGAGGGGAGGAAGGAAGCGGTAGGAGGGAGAAGCTCCCGCCAGAGGCCTCGGAAGTTGCTTGGAATGTCCCGAACGCCCAACAAAATTGGTCTTCCTTCTCCTCCTCATCCTCCTCCTGCTCCCCTTCAGCTTTGGCTTCGGTTTCAGCTGTGATGCCCTACAAAGCGCCGTTGGGCCAGCTCACCCGAGTCGGCACTCCGTTCGCACGAGTGCATCCCTCTTCCTCCCTTCTCTTCGTCATCGTCCCCATGCTTGTCTTCTGCTTCGCACAGTGACGGTCATGGGACTGTTAAGATACGAACATTCATGTTAAGCGGTGGGATCTCATGTTCGGCCTTGTACTGTCCTCCTCCTCGCCCTCCTCACCCTCGTAATATATCTCTATCTTTGTCTCTCTCTCTCTCTCTCTCTCTTTCTCTTATTATGTCTCTCTCTCTCTCTCGGTATGTCTCCCTCTCTCTCTCATCAGCAGCAGCAACATCATCACCACCGTCCAGAAACAGGTTCTGAATTCGAGCATTACTCTCCTCTCCCCGCCGTCAACTTTGTAACATGTTTCAAGGGATGGGAGGGGTGCAGGATGTTGTATGTGGCGCCAGCGCGCCTAGCGCGGGCTTGCCTCACCTCGCCCCCGAAGTGGGGTCTCCAGCTGCTGATGTCAAAAACACACAGTCATCACCCTTTCGCCTCCATTGTCGTCAGCTTCTCCTCCCTATCCTCCTCCTTTCTTATGCATGTTGCAAGACTCTCGCAGCTCCACCGTCAGCAACGGCGGCCGTGTCCGCTGTAGGACAGGCGAGGCGCTGGAGCCTGGACGGGCAGCTCGATGGTACGAGGGATGCGGGCACCTCCACCGCCTCACAAGCTCCGCCACGACCTCCGGGGAGGACGAACTGGCAGATGGCAGGAGGAGACTGGCAAGGAGTGCACGTTGTGCTCGATCTCGAGCGTGAGAATCACCGAGCGCGTTCCACTTCTCGCAAAGTGCCTACTCGCAAGCGCCCGAAAAAACACATGTCTGCTTCGATGTAGTGTACTGTAGATCCTCCGCGGCGGATCGAGGCCATTTGCGAGTAGCTACTTTGCGAGTAGTGGAACGCGCTCGTCTAGAGAAGGTCGTTGTCGAATCCGAGCGCGGCCACCATACCGGCGCAACTGCACACGTCTAGCACGGGGCGCGGCGCACACGTGGGGCCGAGATGCTCCGAGAAGAACGGCAGCGGGGGACGTGGCAGCGGGCGGGACTGCCGCTGCCCTGGGCAGCAGCGGCAGCCTGGGCCTCCCAGAATTGGAGTCCGAGCAGGTGGGGTCGACGGATCGCTCCGCATCCGACGGTGCATCGACGACATATCGGAGAAGCGTCGGCGACACATCGGCGACGTCGGCGATACATCGGCGCGGAAGAACTTCGGCTCCACGTGAGGTCCGAGCAGATGGGGTCGACGGATCGCTCCGCATCCGACGGTGCATCGACGATACAGCGGAGAAGCATCGGCGATACATCGGCGACATCGGCGATACATCGGCGCGGAAGAACTTCGGCTCCACGTGAGGTCCGAGCAGATGGGGTCGACGGATCGCTCCGCATCCGACGGTGCATCGACGATACAGCGGAGAAGCATCGGCGATACATCGGCGACGCTGGTGATACATTGGTGCCATCGGCGTGGAGGAACTCTGTAGCTCCACGTGAGGTCCGGGCAGGTGGGGTCGACGGATCGCTCCGCATCCGGCGGTGCAGCGACGGTGCGGCTCGACGTGGCCGATTCTGGAAACCCTGAACCCAAAAATGTTGCCATCTCTCGGGGGCGCATCTTTTACAGTCGGACCGATGTGAAAGATCGAGGTCGGTTCGGGGAGGGTACCCTGGTGTTCTTCGTGTTTGTTGGATGGTCTTGTGCATCCTGGGGAGGGTATCCTTGGATGTTCTCTTTGTCTTGGCCGACCGAGGGTCTCATGTTCTTGAAGGATGTACTTCCGCCGACCTTCCATCACTTCCGCCGGCGCATGCGCCCTCGTTTTCCTTCCGCCGCCTTCCGCCGCCCTTCCGCCCAGGAAGAGATGCCAACCCCCTCGATCCTCGCAGGCGAGGCCCTCTACGGAACGCCTCATGTGGAGCCAGAGTTTCTCCCCGCCGATGTCGCCGATGCTTCGCCGCTGCATCGTCGATGCACCGTCGATGCGGCGCGATCCTCCGACCCCATGTGCTCGGAACCCATTTGGGAGGCCTCTGGGCGTGCGGCAGCCGCGAGCACGGATGGACAAGAGAGGACCGGCAGGCAGCCATGGTGATGGCAGTGACCCGCGCGGGCCCGAGGACGGGGAGGGCTGTGGGCGGCCCAGCCGTGGGGGTCGGGCCCGAGCGGGCCGCCGTGCTGCGGCCGCAGCGCTTCTTGAGCCAAGGGGAGAGAGCCGGGCGCGCTGGCGGTGGCGAGGGCGCGGCGCCGGGCAGGGGCCGAGGGCAGCGAGGCCGCGGCGGGGGCCCGCACCGAGGCAGGCCTCCAGAGTGAGCGGAGGCCGGTAGACCTGCCCCGACACGTGGATGGGCGAAGTGGCCGTCTTCGGTTCGCGAGAGGGCGTCGCGGCCGCCATTTTAGCGGTCCAGGTCCGTCGGTTTCGGTCCCAGGCCGTTTTCACTAGAGGGTGGTTGGTTTCCTAAAGGGAGGTTTGTCCACCGCGCCGAGGTGAGAGGACGCCCGCGGGAGCGGACCCACTCTCTGCGCGCGCCACAGCTTTCGCCCCAACCCCGGCCCGAAGGGCACGGCGGCCAGGGCGCGAGGGGAGAGCAAGGGTCGGCCACACACAGAGGGGAGGGTGCAAGGGGGAGGGGGGAAAGGATCGCCTGGGAGCACCCCTGCTTCTTAGAAGGCGCGGGCCTTGTCTATATAGATGTAAGGCCGGCGGCTTCTAAGAAGCAGCCTCCGGAGAAGTTTTCCCCCCTGCCGCCAAGAAGGGGAGCGACTGCAGCAACAGGCGGTCGTGAGAGAGAGGGGCGCCCTGGGTGGCGCCCGGGTGTGTCTCACCTGACCACCTCCACCTCCATTGAGAACGAGTGCGCCATCGAGGGCGCGAAGTTATTCGCGCTTCGCTGTTCGGCCCCGATTCCTCCTCATCCTGCTCTTACGCCCTGGAGGGTGGCGCGAGAGCGCGAAGTTGTTCGCGTTTCGCGCAGCGCGAAGCGCGAAGTTAGGCGCTCTTGAAGAGCACCTTGGCAGCAGCACGCAGGATCAAGAGGTCGAACGTGCCGCTGCGCGGGCGAGCCGCTCCCGAAGCACGGCCCGCGCCAGAGCGCTGGAGAGGCCGATGGTCCAGCAGCGTGGTGGCGGCGGCGTCCGTGGTGGGCCGCGCCGCTGCAGTTCGTCAGCGGCACCATCGAAGCGCACATTAAGAGCACAAAGCGAGACCTCACTGCCTACTGCCGCAGCAGGCGGAGGGGAGCGCCAGAGGCGTTGGGCGGTTATCTGTGTTCCGAGCGGGGGGGAGGGGTCACGACCGCGAGCCTCGCCGAATCCCCCTCCTCCTCCTCCTCCTCCTCTTTCTTCTCCTCCTCCTCCTATCCTTATTCCTTATTAGAATATACTCCTACTCCCCCCTCAGGCCGGCCGATAGGGGCCGCATCCGGGTGGTCCCATCCTAACCTGTAAAAAACAATACCAAATCAACATGTTTCTTATTTTTTCCTCTCGACATGGACGTCCTGTCGTCCACGGCGATAATCCATTGCAAAAAATACCACAAAGAGCACACGCGCGCGTTCATGTCAGAATCCTACCGAACACCGTGTGTTTGCAAGCATTCAACATAAAAACATCAAAAACCCAATGCTTTTTCACAAAAATTGTACAAATTTCCCGCCCGGGCTCTCTTGCTGAAATCATAGGAAAACCATAGGAATCTTAAGAATTCGGTCAAATCCAGCGATTTCACGTCATCGCGCGGTGCACTCGCGATGCTCTGTCATGCACCCAGGCCGCGAATCCTGTGCAAAAAATACCACGCGGGCGACATGCGCGCGCGTCGCCGCGAGCGCATGCTCAAATCCTTCTAGAGTCGTCGCCGTCATTGGCACCGTCGCATGGACGTCCTGTCGTCCACGTCGCAAAATGCATGGCAGGAATGGGACGCGGCGCACACCCCGCGCCCGCCCATCCAATCCGTCCCATTCTAATCTGCAAAAGACAATACACAGTTTTTGTTTTTCTTGTCAACATGGTCGTGCTGTCGTCACGTCGCAAAATGCGTGGCAGGAATGGGACGCGGTGCACACCCCGCGCGAAGGGGTGACATGTCGCTCTCGCCTCGGCGCCGCGCACCAACGTTTTTCCTCTCAGCATGGACGTCCTGTCGTCCACGTCGCAAAATGCTTGGCAGGAATGGGATGCGGCGCACACCCCGCGCCCGCCCATCCAAACCCCCCCTTTATAAAAAAACAGTACAAGTTGGGGCCTTCAGGCTTCCTGCGGTGTACCGGGCCATTCTCGACTCGTCTGGCAATGCGTGCGCGGCATTCAACACGCGCTCGCCAGTTCCCGTCGGCAACCGCCATCGCGGCCGCATCAGCTGTACCAAACCGGCTGGCCGGTGTGACTTCGGCCCCCAGTTGTGCCAGCTTTGCTTCTTATGTTGTGGGAGGGCGGGTGGGACTGGGCATGCCATGCTTGACTCGCTCGAGCTGGCTAGCTTGACTCCTACTCCTACTCCTACTCCTACCCTTATTCCTTATCAGAATATGATCATACTCCTCCCTATAGCCGCCCCATCCGGGACATCCCATCCTAACTTGCAAAAAAACAACACGACATCAACATGTTCCGTTATTTTTCCTCTCAACATGGACGTCTTGTCGTCAACGTCGAAAATCAGTTTGGAAAGAAACACAAAGTACGCATGCGCGCGTTCATGCCAAAATCCTACCAAACACATTGTGTTCGCAAGAATTTCATCATACAAGCCTAGAATGAAAAATGTTGTTCATCACAACTCTTCAAAATTCCTGCCCGCGCGCAATTGCTGGAATCATGGGAAAACCATACGATTCCTATGAGTTCGTGGAAAAAGCCGACGATCTTGTCACGCCGCGCGGTGTACTCGCGATGCATTGTCATGCACCCAGGGTGCAAATCCTGTGCAACAAATACCACGCGGGCGACATGCGCGCGCGTCGCCGTGAGTGCATGTTCAAATCCTTCCAGAGTCGTCGCCATCGTCGGCACCGTCGCTGGCCTTGCCGTCGTTGTCGCCATCATCGCGGGTCACCGCCCTCCTCATCATGTCGCCACCGTGGTCGACGTCATCATGCCATTGCGCCCGCCCGAGTCACCGACCTGCACCGAGGTGCCCGCGCGTTGGCGCGGCCTTCAAGACGCGTTGGGCCAGTCCCCATCGGCCACCGTACTTGTGGCCGCAAGAATTCTGCCATACCAGCTGGCCGATCTGCGCGCGCGACGCGCTTTGCCAGCCAAGTTTCCTGGGGTTTCGTGGGGTTTCCTGGACCCCCTGGGGTTTCCTGGAGGAGCTCCTGGCGTCTCCTGGGCCTTCCTGGTGTTTCCTGGGGAAGGACCCGCTGGGGCCTTCAGGGGACTCCTGGGGCCTCCTGGGGTTCCCTGGGGTGTCCTGAAACATCATGGGGTTTCCTGCAGCCCTCTTGGAGCTTCCTGGGTCCTACTGGGGCATCCTCGACTCGTGTTGAAATGCCCGTGCAGCCTTTGAGACGAGCTGAGGAGCTCCCATCGGTAACCGCTGTCGCGGCCCAATCCGATGTGCCAAACCAGCTCGCCGATGTGATCTCGGTTCCCGCTTGTGCCAGCACTGTTCCTTATGTTGTGGGAGGGTGGGAGGGAATGGGCATGCCATGCATGTCTCGCTCGAGCTGACTAACTTGACGCTTACGTTTACTCCTACTCATACCCAAATATCCTCATCAGAATATACTCTTGATCCCCCCTCTGTCCGGCCGATAGAAACCCCATCCGGGGAGTCCCACCCTAGCCATAAAAAATATCCATACAAAGTGCCCGCGTTTCCCTCTCAACGTGGCCTGTCGTGTCGCCGACGATGTTACGAAATGCGTAGCGGGAGCTGGGCGCGGCGCACATCGCGCGCGGACGTCAATCCGTGCACCCCTAATTTGATTTCAAGAAAAAGCCATACAAAGTCCCCGCCGTTCCTCTCAACATGGCCTGTCTTGTCGTCGACGATGCGAAACGCGTAGCAAGAGTGGGAAGCGGCGCACATCGCGCACGGACGTCTGGGGCAACCCCAGGCGGGAAGGGCAACCCGACCAGTCAAAATCTCATACAAAGTCGGCATGTTTATTCTTGGCGTGGGCTGCCTTGTCGTCTTCGTCGCGAAAACCGGGGCGCCGCGCACATCGCGCGCGGCAGGGCGAAATGTAGTTGTCGCATCGGCACCGCCCGCATGTTTCCTGAAAGTTGCGTTCCCGCTATGGCGCCGCGTACACGTTCGTTCCGCAGCTCGTCGGGCGCATGGGGCCCCGTGGTCCAGGGTCTGTGGAACATATTGGGGCCTCCCCGCCTTGCGGATCTTCCTGGTGCCTTTTGGAGTTTCCTGGGGTTCTTTGGGGAGTCATGACACTTCCTAAGGCTTCCTGAAGCCTCCTGGAACCTCCTGGGAGTTCCTGGGGCCTCTTGAAGCCTCTTGGGACCTCGTGGGGCCCCCTGGCGTTTCCTGCTACATTCTGGGGCCTCCTGAGGACTCCTGGGGCGTCCTGACTTGTCAGAAACAATACACCGTCTACGTCTTTCCTGTCCACATGGACGGTCTTGTCGTCGACACAAAAAAGTGCGTGGCAGGAACTGGGCGCGGCGCACCCCCCGCTCGAAGTGGCGACAATGTCGTTCCCGTTTGGGCGCCGAGCGCATTTCTCTGAAAGTTGCGCTCCCGCTTTGGCGCGGCGCAAGTTTTTCGCTCACCACCTCGACTGGCGCAGGACCGCGCGCGACCGTGCGAAAAGCAGCTCTCGCGCTGCAAAATGTGTGGAAGGAGTGGGGCGCGGTGCACCACCCGCGCGAAGTGTCGAAATTTCGCATTCGCCTTGGCGCCAGCATTGTCTCTTATGCTGTTGGAGGGCGGGTGCGAATGGGCATGTCATGCGTGACTCGCCCGCCATGTTAAACCTGACTCCCACTCCTCCTCCCACTTCTCCTCCTCCTCCTCCTCCTCCTCCTCCTCCTTCTCCTCCTCCTCCTCTTCCTCCCCCTCCTCTGAGGGGGGGGGGGGTAAGGGGACCTTCCCGCGAGGCGAAGGGGCCCTGGAGGGACGGGTGGCGTTCGCTCCCCCCTCCCCCCCCCGTGGGCCGTCGCGGCGGCGGGCAGGAGCGTCGTCGAGGAGTTGAGCGCCGATGAGGCCGTGGAGGCCAGCGGCTCTCCCGCTCGCCATCGCCGTTCCCCCTCCTCGTCCTCATCCTTCACGTTGGCTTTTCCAGGTGGATATCTCGCCGCGCGTACGTTCGCTGGCCGCTCGGCGCGGCACCGTTCGCGCCAAGACTGCAGGGGTGTCTCGGGCGGTTTGCGTGTCTGGTTGCCCAGGCTCTTCTGCTTTAAGAGCTGATCGTGAGGATGTCTCGAGCGAGGCGCTGGTTCCAGCACCCCAGTTGGGGAGCCGACAGGTTAGCCGCCAGGGGTGGTTTCACTCCGCTGCTCGCGCCCAGATTGTGGGGATATCTCTGGCGGTTTGCCTGTTTGGTTGCTTGGACGTTTTTATGTTCAGAGCAGAATGTGAAGATGTCTCGAGCGAGGCGCTGGCTTCAGCACCCCAAGGGAAGCCGCCAGGAGTGTGTTCACTCCCCCGTTCACAGCCAGACGTTGGAGATGTGTTAAGTGATTTGCCTGTTTGGTGGCCCAGACTCCTTTGCTTCCAGAGCAGATTGCGAGAACGTCTCGAGGGAGGCGTTTGTAAAGAGGGGCCAGCGTGCAGCCGGTGCCGCGGTAGCCCAAGTTGGCGCAGGGCCCGCCACGGCAGCTGACACCCGATGAGGACCAGGGCCGCCAGCCGAGGTTGGCGGCCCACGTCTGCAAGGGAGACGAGGGCAGGCACGGGCCTGCACGCGCCCGAAGCAGCGGGCACGTGGCGGCCAGCTTGCCCGTCCAGCTCTGTGCCGGGGCCGTGGAGAACCAGGGCCACGTCCTCCGGCAAAGGAGCCGCTCGGTGTGGCGTCTCCGGGGGCGTATTGGGGGCATCCTGGGGGCCTGCTGGCGGTCTCGGGGGCCTTCTTTGGGAGGGGGGGGGGGCCCTTCGGGGGCCCCTCCTGGGGTCTTGGGGGCCTCTTCCGGGCCTCTTTGGGTCTTGTTTACCGCCTTGGAGCGACATTGGTGGTCGTTTGGGCCATTGTGGACGCTCTGAGGACCGAACGAGCAAAGAGGTTCAAACTGCTGTTTTAATTTTTCCGCAGTCCGAATGATTTTCCTCTCAAGCTCGACAAGCCGAGTGGATGCCCGCGGTGACGGTCGAGCTGTTTTTATTCCCAACCCTCTTGTGTTGGGTACTCGTTTTGAATAGAGCACTGCGGTCCCCACCTCCTCCGCCGCCGCCTCCTGCTGCTCCTCCTTTTCATCCTCCCCCTCCTCCTCCTTCTCCACCTCCTCCTTCCTCCCTCATTATCCTCCTTCTCGTTTTCTTCGTCCTCCCCCCTGCCTCGTGACCTCGGCGTCCCCTGGGGGGCTGCGATCTGCGAAACTGTCGCCACTTTCGTGGGCTTCTGGGAGGGCGAGCGGAGGTACGTCATACGCAGATCACCACGAGACCTCGCCGACCCCTGGGGGGCTGCGATTTGCGAAAATGTCTCCACTTTGATGGGCTTCTGGGAGGGCCAGCGGAGGTATATCATATGCAGATCACCACGAGACCTCGCCGCCCCCTGGGGGGCTGCGATCTGCGAAGTTGTCGCCACTTTCGTTGATTTCTGGGAGGGCGAGCGGAGGTACGCCATACGCAGATCGCCACGAGACCTCGCCGTCCCCGGGGGGCTGCGATTTGCGAAGTTGACGCCACTTTCGTGGGCTTCTGGGAGGGCGAGCGGAGGTACGTCTTAGCAGATCACCACAAGACCTCGCTGTCCCCTGGGGGGCTGCGATCTGCGAAATTGTCGCCACTTTCGTGGGCTTCTGGGAGAGCGAGCGGAGGTACGTCCCACGCAGATCACCACGAGACCTCGCCGCCCCCTGGGGGGCTGCGATCTGCAAAACGATACAATTTTCTTCGGCGTCTGGGAGGGCGAGCTGAGGCACATCATACGCAGATCACCACGAGACCTCGCCGCCCCCTGCGGGGGCTGCAAACTGCGAAGTTCTCGCCACTTTCGTAGGCTTTTGGAAGGCGAGCGGAGGTACGTCATACGCAGATCACCACGAGACCTCGACGTCCCCTGGGGGTCTGCGATCTGCGAAATTGTCGCCGCTTTCGTTGGCTTCTGGGAGGGCCACTGGACGTACATCCTACGCAGATCACCACGAGACCTCGCCGTCCCCTGGGGGGGGCTGCGATCGGCGAAGTTGTCGCTACTTTCGTGGGCTTCAGGGAGGACCAGCGGAGGTACGTCCCACGCAGATCACGAGACCTCGCCGTCCCCTGGGGGCTGCGATTTGCGAAGTTGACGCCACTTTCGTGGGCTTCTGGGAGGGCGAGCGGAGGTACGTCCCAGGCAGATCACCACGGGCCAGCGGAGGGCCAGCGGAGGTACGTCCTCCGCAGATCACCACGAGACCTCGCCGTCCCCTGGGGGGCTGCGATTTGCGAAGGTGTCGCCACTTCCGTGGATTCCTGGGAGGGTCAGCAGAGGCACGTCATACACAGATCACCAGGAGACCTCGCCGTCCCATGTGGAGCTGCGATCTGCGAAGATGTCGCCACTTTCGCTGGTTTCTGGGAGGGCCAGCGGAGGTACGTCCCACGCAGATCACCACGAGACCTCGCCGTCCCCCAGGGGGGCTGCGATCTGCGAAGTTGACGCCATTTTCGCTGGTTTCTGGGAGGGCGAGCGGAGGTACGTCATACGCAGATCACCACGAGACCTCGCCGTCCCCTGGGGGGCGGCGATCTGCGAAATTGTCGCCACTTTCGTGGGCCCCCCGGAGGGCCAGCGGAGGTACGTCATACGCAGATCACCACAAGACCTCGCCGTCCCCTGGGGGGCTGCGATCTGCGAAGATGTCGCCACTTTCGTGGGCTCCTGGGAGGGCGATCGGAGGTACGTCATACGCAGATCACCACGAGACCTCGCCGCCCCCTGGGGGGCTGCGATCTGCGAAGCTGTCGCCACTTTAGTTAGTGGACTTCTGGGAGGGCCAGCGGTTTGCATCATGGGCGGATCACCACGAGACCTCGCCGCCCCCTGCGGGGGCTGCAAACTGCGAAGTTCTCGCCACTTTCGTTGGCTCCTGAGGGGGGCACTGGAGGTACGTCCGACGCAGATCACCACGAGACCTCGCCGTCCCCTGGGGGGCTGCGATCTGCGAAGCTGTCGCCACTTTCGTGTGCTTCTGGGAGGGCCAGCGGTGTGACGTCCTACGCGGATCACCACGAGACCTCGCCGTCCCCTGGGGGAGTTGCGATCTGCGAAGTTGACGCCACTTGTGTGGGCTCCTGGGAGGGCGAGCGGAGGTACGTCATACGCAGATCACCACGAGACCTCGCCGTCCCCTGGGGGGGCTGCGATCTGCGAAGCTGTCGCCACTTCCGTGGGCTCTTGGGAGGGCCAGCGGAGGCACGTCCTACGCAGGTCACCACGAGACCTTGCCATCCGCGAAACAGTCGCCACTTTCGTGGGCTGCTGGGAGGGCCAGCGGAGTGACGCGGCGTGCGCGAGCGGCGCGCAACGAATAGCGCGTGGCGCTGTCCATTGCCCATGCCGCATCCCTTCTTCAGCTGCCTGTTGTTTGTAATGCATGCGGGCGCATGCTAGGTTTAGCGCAAGGCGCTGTGCTGCCATATCGCGCAGAGCGCTGTCCTGCAATGCGACCACAGCGCAAGGCGCTGTTATTCCTACAAATTCAATCTCCAATGGTCCCTTCTCCACATGTTTCCACGCCCCCTCGTAGTCGCTCTCCTGCTAACGACCTGACTCTTAAGAGTGACGCCGTCGACGTGAAACATCTTAGTCTGGCCCGGCGTTCTTTGGCGAAGAGTTCAAGGGCATTGCGGATCATTCAATGATGGCTCCTGTATAGAGCGATCCGACATTTACTCGCCAGATGTTTAAAAGGGTTGGGTACGCCCCTGGGTAATTATTATGAGGGGCATGACTGGATGTGCGCCCATTGTGACGCTCGAGATACCCAATGCTACAGGGGGGAGTTACGGGAGTGGGCGGGGCCCACAATGACAATCGAGCCTTACACTGCTTCCGTTTATGTGAGCGCGTTGTGGGAGTAGGCGAGAGCCCGCAGTGACGCTCGAGTCGGCGGTGATGATGTCATGGATGTTGTTGCTGTTGCTGATGGTGATGATGATGATGATGATGATCAGAAAACCCCGTCCCCGTATAATCATATCGTTGTGTTTCACATGCGGTGCCTCGTGGATCCCACGTCTCGGGCCCCAGGATATTGACAATTATTCAATATGTGTTCCAACCCTGCCTTGGTTGGGTTCTCGTTTTGAATAGAGCACAGGTTCCTCCTCCTCCTCCTCCTCCTCCTCCTCCTCCTCCTCCTCCTCTTCCTCCCGCCTCTCCCCTTCTTCCTTTTCCTGTTTCCTCCCGCCGGCCTCCTGCCTCGTGCCTGCGGTTTGCGAAACTGTCGCAACTTTGGTGGGCTTCTGGGAGGGCCAGCGGAGGTACGTCCCACGCAGATCACCACGAGACCTCGCCGTCCCCGGGGGGGCTGCGATCTGCGGAACTGTTGCCACTATCGTGGGCTTGTGGGAGGGCCACCAGAGGTACGTCCCACGCAGATCACCACGAGACCTCGCCGTCCCTGAGGGCTGCGATCTGCAAAGCTGTCGCCACTTTGGTGGGCTTCTGGGAGGGCCAGCTGAAGTACGTCCCACGCAGACCACGAGACCTCGCCGTCTCCTGGGGGGCTGCGATCTGCGAAATTGTCGCCACTTTCGTGGGCCCCCCGGAGGGCCAGCGGAGGTACGTCCTACGCAGGTCACCACGAGACCTCGCCACCCCCTGGGGGGCTGCGATCTGCGAAACAGTCGCCACTTTCGTGTGCTTCTGGGAGGGCCACTGGAGGTACGTGCCACGCAGATCACCACGAGACCTCGTCGCCCCCAGGGGGGCTGCGATCTGCGAAGCAGTCGCCAGTTTCGTGGGCTTCTGGGAGGGCAAGCGGAGTTACGTCCCACGCAGATTACAACGAGACCTCGCCGCCCCTGGGAGGCTGCGATCTGCGAAGCAGTCGCC